TCCAGGACGGCAGCCGCAAGGAGGGCACGAAGCGCTACGACGGCTCCGGCAGGCCGCGCCTGCACGTTCTTTTCTTCGCGGACGACGACGCCATGGCGAACGTGGGATTGGGGCATCACCTCTTTGCGACCAAGCCCGACGGCTTCTCGGACGACCTGAAGGGCTATGTGGACGGATCGCAGCTAAACAAGCACGGCGACGCAGAGAGCAAATGGCCGATCTGCCACGGCCCGTCGGGGGTGCACGGCGACGATGGTGTCCTCCAGCTGAAGCACACCGAGGAGGACCACGACGCGGGCCTCCGAGCGTACTGCGCTGACGTAATGGACGGGCTCCCTTGCCATCAGGACTGGCAGACCAGCGACGGGGAGGCCATGCTCCTGCAATACGTGTCAAAGTATGTGGCGAAGTTCTCGGACAGCAGCTACGACGAGTGGATGAGCGACAAGGCCTCCGCGGACAGCGTGGCCAGGCGCGTCTGCTTCGAGTACCACCCCAACGAGCCAGAGATGATCCTGCAGCTGTGTGGAGCGCAATTCAGACAGTACGACATCTCTACGGTCAGCGGCGGCTTCCGCACCGTGACGGCGCCTTACTCGGGCATGGCGGATGTGCCCGACTGGGTCCAGAGGTATGTTGACTGCTCGTGGCGCCACGAGGGCATGGCGCTCTTGGAGTGGCTTCGGAAGACTACTGACGACGGCGCCATCGCTGGATGGCTGAAGCGCAAGCACAAGCAGGAGCTGGTGTTGGCCCTGCACAGGCGGTGCCGCGCGACCTTGCCCGAGGGCGAGGAGCCCCGGGCGCTCGACGCTCACTGGCGCTTCCTGCGCGCTGAGTACAAAGGCATGGCCGATGCTGATGGCGGAGGTAGCGGGAACAGTGACGAAGCCTCCGGCGCCGAGGACGAGGAGCAGCCGAAGACCTTCGAGGAGTTCCTCGCGAAGAAGCACAGAGACGAAAAGAGCGAGGGCGAGGACGACTTTCCGAACCTCAAGGAGTTCGCGCGAGCCTTCCGCATGCAGGGCGAGAAGGTGGTCAGCGTCGACACGGTATACGAGCTCAACGACCGCTACTACGGCCAGTGGGCTGCAATGAACGTGCCGTTCCGATCGCTCGACGAGCTCGAGTTCGAGGATGTCAATCGCCTGGTTCCGCAGAAATACAAGTATCTCGCGGCGGCGCTGCGACTGTGCTCTGACCAGGGCCGCGTCGCTGAAGGGCACCATGACTTGTTCACCGATGACAGGCGGCTCGTGGACTACATGAGCGCTTCCGCGAAGTCAAGCAAGTTCACGGAGGCTGTGCATCGCATGATCGTGGGGCAGCGGAAGCTGATCAACATGTACCTGACGGGCATCATCGACAAGGCCGACGAGAAGGCCGCGGCCGACGTCGAGGCCGCCGTCATCGGCAACCGCAGGCCAGCGCGCGACGAGGGCCAGGAGGAGGTCGACTTCAACCCGAAGCAGCTGCAGCTGGAGGAGGCGATCAACGAGCGCGTGGACCGCGCGGTGCGGGCAGAGCTGTCGGAGGAGTGGGAGGAGGCCGGCGAGGCGCGCGAGGAAGCCTACAAGAAGAACACGCCCGTAATCTGCTTAGGAAAGCCTGGAACTGGGAAGACCACCGTGGTAAAGTTCTGCATTCGGCGCGCCCAGGAGCAAGGCGCGCGCGTGCTCTTCGCCCTCCCGACGGCGCAGCTGTCCAGCCGCATGAGAGCCGCGCTGCAAGACCTGGAGGGCCTAACGGTGGACACGTGCCACGCCGCATTCAAGCTGCACGATCCAATCACAGAGAGTCTTCACAGGATGACGGACTTCGACTTGGTGGTGGTTGACGAGGTATCGATCTGTTTTTGCGCTCTCTTTTTTTTTTCTTTTGCTTTTTGACTTTGTTGATTTTTTTGTTGTTTGCTTTTGTTCTTTTTTTTTTTTCTGTTGATGAAGTGCGAAAGCTTCGAGCGCATCCTGAAGCTCTGGAGCGTCGCGGGGAAAGTCCCCGCGCTGGTCTTCCTCGGAGACAAGCACCAGCTCCCTGGGGTGGAACCGTCACGTCCTTGGGAGAGTGCCGCATGGAAGCGGCCGCGCTGTTTCCACGTGAAGCTCACCGAGACCTGGCGGTGCAAGGAGGAACGCTTCCAGGAGATCCTGGACGAGCTTCGGACAGACAAGCCCTCCAAGGAGACGTTCCGCAAGATCGTGCGCGACCACAAGGCGTGGAAGAGCAGTGGCGACCCCACGCCCGCCGAAATGAAGAAGCTCTTCGAGAAGCACCCAGACACGCGGATCGTCACCTGCACGCGCAGGGGCGCTGCGGCCGTGAACGAAGCGGCAGTCGCTGCGCTGTGCGGCCGCAAGACCCCGCTGGCCAGGCTGAACGGCGACGTGGAACTCAACCCCGAGAACTACCTGGATGGCAAGCTTCGCACTGATCGCCGTCTGGTCCCAAGCAGAGTACCGATTCACAAGGGAATGCAATTGTACCTGACGAAGAACAATAACAAGGAGGCCGACGAGGTGAATGGCATGCTTTGCGCGGTGGAGAACTACCGCGCCGAGGAGGACATGCTGCGCGTGATGACGAAGACGGGCCACCGTCTGGCGATCACTCGCTGGACCGACCGCGAGAAGGGCAATGCGGTCTACTTTCCGATTCGTCTCGGCTGCGCCAGCACCATCGACAAGGTGCAGGGCGACGAGTTCCCCCACATCGCGATATACCTGGACGGGTGGCCTAGACCAGCAGCGGGATATACAGCGCTCAGCCGCGTTGCAACGTCGGATGATTACTTGATCGGCGGCTTCGTGGAGCGCGACAACTTCATGCCCGCGTTCTGGGATTGCCGACGGTGTCCGCGCGTTGGCTGGCGCGCGACCGCTTGCCTCTCGCAGTATCCACGCGGCGCGCCTGCCCCGCTGTCGCGTGCAAAGGCACGAACGTGCGTAGTCCTGCTAGGAAGATGATGGTGTGTCAGTGCCACGTCGGGGAAGGGAAGGAAAGCAGAAGGAAGGGCATACGTAGAGATTGTCTGACGTTCTCGACACCCCTGGAGTTTCGAGACGGCGGGGAGGGGGAGCGCGAGGGGGCGGGTCAGGCGCCCCCTCGTACATGGCAACGGAAGGCGTCGTGTGATGCCCTTCGCGGCGGACTGCGCAGTGCGAGAGGGCGCCGGGCGCGTGCCCCTCGCGCTCCCCCCCGTGAAACCCCGTGGGACTTGACAAACGAGCTCCTGGAACTCCTCGGCTTGCTCTACGAGGTCTTGGGCGAATCGCTTGGGTCCGCGGAGCCGTTCGGCGCATCTGCGTCGCTTTTTTTTTGTCGCGTCCCGTTGTTCTGCTAGATGCACCAGCAAAGCACCAGAGCATAGCCGAAGAAGCCGCCGGAGGCAGAACGTTCTGCATGGCACACCAAGAAAGCCCAAGGGGCCGCCGTAGGCGTATCTCCACGTGCGTTACGCTCCCCAGCACAGCCAGAGAGGCCGCCGCAGGCGTGTTTTCACGTGTAAGGCAGTCCCCAGGGATGGGACCTACCTGGAAGCGCTTGGGAGCGCCAGGGAGCGCCGGGGAGCGCTTGGGAGCTTGCCGGGAGCGCCTGAGAGCGCCTGGGAGCGCCATGCGCCTGGGTGCATTGGGAGCGCTTTGGAGCGTGCCGAAAGCGCCGTTGAGCGCTTGGGAGCGCCTGGGAACGCTTGGGAGCGCTGGAGAGCGCCTGGGAACGCTTGGGAGCGCTTGGGAGCGCCTGGGAGCGCTTGGGAGCGCTTGGGAGCGCCTGGGAGCGCTGGGGAGCGCCTGGGAGCGCTTGGGAGCGCCTGGGAGCGCTTAGGAGCCTCTGGGACGTGCGCCAGCCGAAAAAACGCCGCATACTGTGGTTTGCGGCCCCACGGACGGCCGAAAGGGCGCCGCATGCTGTATTTTCATAGGTTTGGAGCCCCGGGGGATGTAGGCGCGCGCAGGGGAGCCACTGGCTGCGCCTAGGGTTAAGGGTTCTATTCATTTCTCGGAGCACTCACAGGGCATCCCCGCGGGGGAGCGCATCCTCCTCAGCGCTACGCGCTTCGTCGGTGCGGCGTGCGCGCATGGGCGGACTCGCTGATCGCTCGGCCAGGCGCCGCGGGCTTCTGACGATGCACCGCCCGGTTTAGGGTTTAGGGTTTAGGGTTTAGGGTTTAGGGGTCCCCTTTCCCGCGTGCACCCCCCTTGTTGAGCAGCGTTGGGGGTGCGCGCCTGCTTCCGCTCCTCACCCGCCGCGCCCCCACCCGACCTTTCTTTTTTAGGGTTTAGGGTTCTCGGTTTGGCGCAGGCTCGGCAGAGCGGGGACCGCCCGACGTGTGGGTGCGACCAGGGCGCTTGCCGACGCTATTTAAGGTCGCCAGGGCGCTCGCCGACGCTATTTAGGGTCGCCAGGGCGCTCGCCGACGCTAATTAAGGTCGCCAGGGCGCTCGCCGACGCTATTTAGGGTCGCCAGGGCGCTCGCCGACGCTATTTAGGGTCGCCAGGGCGCTCGCCGACGCCAATTAGGGTCGCCAGGGCGCTCGCCGACGCTATTTAGGGTCGCCAGGGCGCTCGCCCACGCTATTTAGGGTCGCCAGGGCGCTCGCCGACGCTAATTAGGATCGCCAGGGCGCTCGCCGACGCTATTTAGGGTCGCCAGGGCGCTCGCCGACGCTAATTAAGGTCGCGCTTCCAGGCGCTCCCAGGCGCTCCCAAGCGCTCCCGGGGCGCGCCAGGCGCTCCCAGGCGCTCCCGGCACGCTCCCAAGCGCTCCCGGCACGCTCCCAGGCGCTCCCACGCGTTCCCAGGCGCTCCCAGGCGCTCCCAACGCTCCCAATACCCAGCGCTCCCTACAGCGCTCCACAGCGCGCACCCTGCAACCAGCCGCTTCAGGCAGCGTCCTGGCCGCTCCAGCAAGAGTTCCCAAGACGCCCCCAAGAGCTATCCGGCGCTTCCAGCGGATTTCCATGTCGTCGCTCAGGGACGCGCAGTGCGCTCCAGCAGCGCAGACCCGCACGCTACACCACGCTTTCCCAGGCGCTCCCAGGCGCTCCCAACGCTCCCCGGCGCCCCTGGTGCTCCCAGGCGCTCCCAGACGCTCCCAGGTGCTCCCTGGCGCTCCCAGGCGCTCCCAAGCGCTTCCAGGCGCTCCCAGGCGCTCCCAGGCGCTCCCAAGCGCTCCGAGGCGCTCCCAGGCGATCACAGGCGCTCCAAGCGCTTCCCGGACGCCCAGGCGATTCCCAGGCGCTCCCGGCACGACCCTCCCAAGCGCTCCCAGGCGCTCCCGGCACGCCCCCAGGGCTTCACGTGTTCCCAGGCGCTACACAGGCGCCCCAACGCTCCCCGCGCCCCTGGGGTTTTTTGTTTTGGGCTCTCCCAGGCCGCTCCCCGGCGCCCCTGGTGCTCCCAGGCGCTCCCAGACGCTCCCAGGTGCTCCCTGGCGCTCCCAGGCGCTCCCAAGCGCTTCCAGGCGCTCCCAGGCGCTCCCAGGCGCTCCCAAGCGCTCCCTGGAGCAGGCGCTCCCAATCGCTCCCTGCACGCTCCCAAGCGCTCCCAGGCGCTCCCGGCACGCTCCCAGGCGCTCCCACGCGTTCCCAGGCGCTTCCAGGCGCTCCCAACGCTCCCAAGCGATCCCTGGTGTCCCAGGCGCTCCTTGACGCTCCCAGGCGCTCCCTGGCGCTCCCAGGCGCTCCCAAGAGCTTCCAGGCGCTCCCAGGCGCTCCCAGGCGCTCCCAAGCGCTCCCTGCACGCTCCCAAGCGCTCCCAGGCGCTCCCGGCACGCTCCCACGCGTTCCCAGGCGCTCCCGGCACGCTCCCAGGCGCTCCCACGCGTTCCCAGGCGCTCCCAGGCGCTCCCAACGCTCCCAAGCGTTCCCTGGCGCTCCCAGGCGCTCCCAGACGCTCCCAGGCGCTCCCTAGCGTTCCCAGGTTCCCAAGCGCTTCCAAGCGCTCCCAGGCGCTCTCCGGCGCTCCCAAATGCTGCCGGGACGCGCCCGGCACGCTCCCAAGCGCTCCCAGGCGCTCCCGGCACGTTCCCAGGCGCTCCCACGCGTTCCCACGCGTTCCCAGGCGCTCCCTCCCAAGCGCTCCCAAGCGCTCCCAGGCGCTCCCAGGCGCTCCCAGGCGCTCCCTGGCGCTCCCAGGCGCTCCCAATCGCTTCCAAGCGCTCCCAGGCGCTCCCAGGCGCTCCCAAGCGCTCCCGGGGCGCGCCAGGCGCTCCCAGGCGCTCCCGGCACGCTCCCAAGCGCTCCCAGGCGCTCCCGGCACGCTCCCAGGCGCTTTTTTTTTTGTTCCCTTCTTCTTTTTTTGGTTTTTTCATTTTTTTTTTTTTTTCTTTTTTTTCTTTATAGTTTTTCTTTTTCTTGTATTTTTTTTTTTTCCAAATTCTTTTGTTTATTTTCTTTGTTCCTCTCCTCCAGGCGCTCCCAATGCTATTTATGGTCGCCAGGGGCGCTCGCCGACGCTAATTAAGGTCGCCAGGGCCGCTCACCGACGCTAATTAGTGTCGCCAGGACGCTCGCCGACGCTAATTAGCGTTGCCAGGGCGCTCGCCGACGCTATTTAGGGTCGCCAGGGGCGCTCGCCGACGCTAAGTAAGGTCGCCAGGGCCGCTCGCCGACGCTAATTAGTGTCGCCAGGGCGCTCGCCGACGCTATTTAGGGTCGCCAGCGCGCTTGCCGACGCTATGTAGGGTCGCCAAGGGCGCTCGCCGACGCTAACCTTAACTTTGACGCGTGGGAGCCTCTGGGACCCTAAGGACGCGAGGAACCCGTCGCCGAGGGTTTGGGGTTAATAAAGAATGACAGGGTCGCCAAGGGCGCTCGCCGACGCTAACCTTAATCTTGGCGCGTGGGGTCCTCTGGAACCCTAAGGACGCGAGGGGCCCGTCGCCCAGGGTTTGGGGATAATAACATAGGAGGAGGTTGACACCTCAGCTTCAGCGGCCCAATCAGCACCAGCGCCCGCTGACCGTGACGTCCGTGGCCTTCCAGCGTCACGCGCGTCAGCTCGCGCGCACCAAGCCAAGGTGCGCGCGGTTTAGGGTTTAGGGTTTAGGGTCAGGGTCAGGGTTAGGGTTAGGGTTAGGGTTAGGGTTAGGTAGGGTTAGGGTTAGGGTTAGGGTTAGGGTTAGGATTAGGGTTAAGGGTTAAGGGTTAGGGTTAAGGGTTAGGGTTAGGGTTTAGGATTAGGGTTAGGGTTAGGGTTAGGGTTAGGGTCAGGGTTAGGGGTTAGGGTTAGGGTTTAGGGTTCAGGGTTTAGGGTTTAGGGTGTCCCCTTTCCCGCGTGCACCCCCCTTGTTGAGCAACATTGGGAGTGCACGCCTGCTTCCGCTCCTCGCCCGCCGCGTCCCCACCCAACCCTTCTTTTTTTAGGGTTTGGGGTTCTCGCTTTGACTCACTCGCAGGAGAGTAGCGGAGGTCTGGTGTGAGTTGGCATGTATGCTGACGTGGTGGCATGGCGCCATTCGGGACTGGGAAAATCCACACCCACACACACAATTGCCGGCCTGCGCACGGGCCCCTGCAAATCCTGAAGCGTTGGGATCTGCCCGGGACCGTCGGCCCCTCCCGGGGATGAGTCGGACAAATTCTCGAGCATCGCGCCGGGCCTCGGGACCGGGGAAACCGGCAGACCCCGGGGGCTCGGGACAGCCAATGAAACCACGCGGGAGTCTCAGGAAGGCCGCGAGAACCGCGCAAAACATTCGGGAAACCGTCGTCCGCCACTTTCCGTAGCTATCTGGGCTCAAGCACTCCAGCGCATCGGGCCGCGGCGCGCGCCCCGACACCGACTCTTCCGCTCGGCAGCCATGGCGTGGGGAGCCGGCAAGCAGTACTCCAAGGGCGGCAAGGGCGGCAAGGGAGGCGCTCGTGGGCGCGGTGGCTGGAAGGGCGGCAGGGATGCTGCCGGCTGGGGCGGTGGTCGTGGCAAGGGCGCCGCCAGCGCTGACCCGTGCGCCGAGAGCGTTGAGGCTGCCGGTGAGGCGAAGGCATACGCGGCCAAGCCCGATCTCCATTTGGCGAAACAGGCCCTTCGCTCCGCTATTGCCCCGTGCGGGCCGATGTATCTTAACGGGGCCGAGTCCGAGATGGGGTGGCTTGACCCGGCAGTGGTTGCGGCCACTCGTGACAAGGAGAGCTCCGAGGCGTGCGCCCGCATGGATATGTGGGTATCCATGCTGTGTGGAACAGTATCCACTGGTACCGACGTCGCCGCGAAGGTATTCGACCAGGAGGATGGCGACCAGGTGGCCCGGGCTAGAGGACTACTCGCAGCTCTGGGAACGGCCGACGGCCAGGCCTTTGTCAACGCCTGCGACTACCTCAACGTCAAGAATAAGCCTCAGCGCAGCAAGGAAGAGACGGGCGCCCATCTCCACAATTTCCTGAAGTTCATCACGGCCCCGCCGCCCGACTTCCAGGAGCAGGCAGCCGCGTTGTACATCGCCTCCGCCAATATGCTGCTCTTCTCGGCGCACTTGGTCGAGGCCTGCGCTCTCGCCCAATACCCCGCGAAGTGGGCCGATGCCGTCGACCGCGAGACTCACCCGCCAGAGGTCGCGGCCTGGAAATCAGAGCCCGAGAGCGGCGAGAAACTTCTGGGCGCCTTGCGGGCATGCTTCGAGAAGCGGCTGCTTTCGGAGAGGCAGTGGGGCGGGCAGCCGGAGCCCCGCTGGGACTTCTTCGCGGACGGCGCCCAGGGCGCGGGAGCGTGCGGTGGCGGTGGTGGCCTCCGCCTCAGCGCCTACTCGGACGACGAGGCTGGGGGAGGAGCAGCGCGCGCGGCGCGCCCCCCGGCGGCGTCCGCAGGGAAAGCCGGACGGCATGCGCCGGGGATGGCGCCGTGGGCGCGGGCCACGTTCGACCTCCCGGCGCCCGTGGCGGTCGGACCACCGTCAGCAGAGCGCGCGGCACCCCGCCCGGCTGCGCCCGCGGGAAGAGCGGCCCGCCGCCGGGGAGCAACGCCCGCGGCTGCGGCAAGCGAGCCGCCGGCGCCGGCAGCAGGAGGAGCTGCGGCGCGGCGCGCGCGCCGAGGGCGCGCTGCAGCTGCCGCAACGGAGCCGGCGCCCCCGCGCCCCGCGGCGAAGGCACCGCCGCTGTCGGGCATCGTGCTCGGGCGCGCGGCCACAGCGGGCGCGGCGAGCGCGCCGCCGGCGCGGTTGTCGCTGGGTCGAAGGGGCGCCGGGCTTGTCCTGGGGCGCCCGGCGAAGGAAGCTGCGGCAGCAGCGGCAGCGCCCGAGCGCCCGCGCACAGCTGCCGCCGGCGGCGGCATGCGCCTGGGCACCAGCGTTGCGGCGCCCGCGGAGGGCGTGGCGGCCGCGGCCGCCATGGCAGGAGCGCCGGCAAAGAAGCGGGTTGCCGCCAAGGCCACGGGGGCGGCCGCCAAGCGGCGCAATCAAGAGGAGGATGCGGCGAAGAAGCGGGCCGAGGAGGCGGAGGCGGAGAGGCTGAGGCTGGATGGGGCAGGCGAAAGCGGAGGCTGCCGAGGCAGAGGACGAAGAGGAAGACGAAGAAGAGGAGGAGGATGGCAGCGTGGCCGCGCCCGGGGCCGAGGGCAACGACGACCCGCCCGAGGAGGGCGAGGGCGAGGAGAGCGAGGGCGAGGAGAGCGAAGGCGAGAAGAACGACGAGGACGAGGAGGCCGAGGAGGAAGAGGACGAAGATGCAGAGGAGGATGAGTCCGACCTTGGCGCGCGCCCGCGCGCGGCGGAGGTGCCCCAGGAGCAGTGGGAGATCGCTGCCGCGGTGTGGGGCAAGGAGGCCACCATGGAGATGTCCAAACTCTTGACGAATGGGCAGCAGGCTGTGGACTCCAAGACGAAGCGCGTGGTGACGTGGAACACCGTGATGAAGGTGCTCGACGAGGTTCCGCAGGCGGTGCAGGACCTGGACGGTTTCAAGATTGCGCGTTCTATCTGTGAGAACGGCAAGGACCGCCTGCGTGCCGAGCAGGCCAGGCAGGTTGTGGCGGCGCTCACGGACTCCGTGGACAAGCTCCAGGCCATCGCCGCCGAGGTGGCGGGCGCGGACCACCCGACCCCGCCCGGGGAGGACGGCCTGCCTGGCGGCGGGGCCGCGGAGCCAGCAGCCCCGGATGCGGCAGCCGACGGCGGCGGCGATGCTGGCGCATCGGAGGCCGGCGCCGCGGCGGCGAGCGGCCCTCCGGCGGGCGCGTGAGTAAATGGGCCGCGTTCTGACTGCAGCAGCTGCGCATTGCCGCGCGTGGAGCACGCGGCGCACACCATGGGAGGGCGGGTTGACACACGCAAGGATTTGAATGGGAGTGGGGAATTTCGGGGCGCGCGCTGGATTGCATCACTTAGAGGGGTGGCACTTTGTTCCTGGTGCGCAGCGCGTGTGGGCCGCGTGGCTCAGCGTGGCGCGGAGAATGGTAGAAGGGTGAAACCAACCGCCCACTGCGCACGCAAAGCAGGCGTCTGTGTGCGGGACGCCATGCTCGATTGCATTTCATGTCCGCAAGCCAATGCTGCATGTGGCCGCCCGTGGAGCGCGCGGCGCACACCATGGGAGGGCGGGTTGACACACGCAAGGGCTGGAATGGGAGTGGGGACTGAGAGGCGCGCGCTGGATTGCATCACTTAGAGGGGTAACACCTTGTTCCTGGTGCGCAGCGCATGCGGGCCGTGTGGCTCAGCGCGGCGCGGAGAATGGTAAAGAGGTGAAACCAACCGCCCACTGCGCGCGCAAAGCAGGCGTCTGTGCGCGGGACGCCGTACTCGATTACATTTCATGTCCGCAAGCCAATGCTGCATATGGCCGCCCGTGGAGCGCGCGGCGCACACCATGGGAGGGCGGGTTGACACACGCAAGGGCTGGAATGGGAGTGGGGACTGAGGGGCGCGCGCTGGATTGCATCACTTAGAGGGGTAACACCTTGTTCCTGGTGCGCAGCGCGTGCGGGCCGTGTGGCTCAGCGCGGCGCGGAGAATGGTAAAGAGGTGAAACCAACCGCCCACTGCGCACGCAAAGCAGGCGTCTGTGCGCGGGACGCCATACTCGATTACATTTCATGTCCGCAAGCCAATACTCATATGGCAGCCCGTGGAGCGCGCGGCGCACACCATGGGAGGGCGGGTTGACACGCGCAAGGGCTGGAATGGGAGTGAGAATGAGGGGCGCGCGCTGGATTGCATCACTTAGAGGGATGACACTTTGTTCCTGGTGCGCAGCGCGTGCGGGCCGTGAGGCTCAGCGCGGCGCGGAGAATGGTAGAGGGGTGAAACCAACCGCCCACTGCGCACGCAAAGCAGGCGTCTGTGCGCGGGACGCCATACTTGATTACATTTCATGTCCGCAAGCCAATGCTCACATGGCCGCCCGGGTGCAAAGGGCTGTTCGCTGCATCCACCCGCCTCGCTGCAGCGATGCTTGGAAGGCCATGCTTGCCATTGCCACTGGAAAAAGAATCGTCTCATCATCTCTATCACCATCGACGTCTGTGCGCGGAGGCCCTCCGCCCTCGGGCTGTCGCCACTGCTAGTCTTTGGTTCCACCTGGGGGTGCCTCGGCGGCAGCCTGGAGGAAGGTTCAATGGAATGCCGCGGCATTGCAAAAGAGTCGTTCTGCTCTTGCCAAGTCGATCAGGAAAAGTACAGCGCATTCTGTCTCTGGTAACACGCAAGCCATGTGGTTCCATACGTCCAGAAGTCGGCGGCAGCCGGGCGGACGATTCAGCGGAACCCCGTGGAAGACAAGGGAGCCCGGGTCACTTTTGATGTGCGACGCACCCGCTGGTTGGTCGATCACTCCGATGCCTCGGCGCCCTCTCGCCTTTCCGCGGGGGCCCTCCCCCCTCGGGCTGTCGCCGCTGCTAGTCTTTGGTTCCACCTGGGCGTGCCTCGGCGGCAGCCTGGAGGAAGGTTCAATGGAATGCCGCGGCATTGCAAAAGAGTCGTTCTGCTCTTTCCAAGTCGATCAGGAAAATTACGGCGCATTCTGTCTCTGGTAGCACGCAAGCCATGTGGTTCAATATTTCCAGAAGTCGGAGGCAGCCAGGCGGAAGCTTCAGCGGAACCCCGTGGAAGACAAGGGAGCCCGGGTCACGTTTGATGTGCGAAGCATACGCTGGTTGGTCGATCCCTCCGATGCCTCGGCGCCCTCTCGGCTTTCCGCGGGGGCCCTCCGCCCTCGGGCTGTCGCCACTGCTAGTCTTTGGTTCCACCTGGGGGTGCCTCGGCGGCAGCCTGGAGGAAGGTTCAATGGAATGCCGCGGCATTGCAAAAGAGTCGTTCTGCTCTTGCCAAGTCGATCAGGAAAAATGCAGCGCATTCTGTCTCTGGTAACACGCAAGCCATGTGGTTCCATACGTCCAGAAGTCGGCGGCAGCCGGGCGGGCGATTCAGCGGAACCCCGTGGAAGACAAGGGAGCCCTGGTCATTTTCGATGTGCGAAGCATACGCTGGTTGGTCGATCCCTCCGATGCCTCGGCGCCCTCTCGCCTTTCCGCGGGGGCCCTCCGCCCTCGGGCTGTCGCCGCTGCTAGTCGTTGGTTCCACCTGGGGGTGCCTCGGCGGCAGCCTAGAGGAAGGTTCAATGGAATGCCGCGGCATTGCAAAAGAGTCGTTCTGCTCTTGCCAAGGCGATCAGGAGAAATGCAGCGCATTCTGTCTCTGGTAACACGCAAGCCATGTGGTTCCATACGTCCAGAAGTCGGCGGCAGCCGGGCGGACGATTCAGCCGGGCCATCGCGCCCTACGACTGGTCCTTCCCGTATCACGTGGCGCTCACCGACAGCATGGCCAAGCGCGCGCCGCGCCAGTGGTACCCCGTGCTGGAGACCATCCACATGACGCACGTCATGACCCAGGCCGTCTTGGGGCTCCTCTGCGGCGCGCACAAGCACAGGAAGCCCGCCGGCAGGGAGAACGACTACCAGATTATTCCAGCGCTGGACGACGATGGCAACCCCGTGGACGTCTTCCCCGTGCTGCGCGTCGAGTTCCAGGACGGTACCCACAAGGACCCGACGCAGGACTACCACGGGAGCGGGCGCCCGCACGTCCACGCGCTCCTCTTCGGCGTCGACGTCAAGAAGTGGAAGCTCCATGAGTGGGCGCGGGCCACGCTCCCGCGCGAGGATGAGGGCATCGTGCGCGGCTACGTCCTGGGTGCGCAGCTGGACAAGAACAAGCAGACCAAGTGGCCCGTGCACGAGGGCCCCTCCTGCTGGGACGAGGACGAGGGGACCTACAAGCTCCGGCACAGTGCCAAGGACAAGTCGCAGGGCGTGCGGGCATGGATCGACGCCCTGCTGGAGGCCCTGAACGGCAGCCACCAGGACCTCCAGTTCTCCGTGGACGAGTCCTCTCTCTCGGTCTACGTGGCAAAGTACGTGCCCAAGTTCTCCGACGCCTTCGCCAACGACTTCCTGGACGATGAGAACGGCCTCGGCGGCGACGGCACGGCGGCGGGCATCCTGTCTCGCTACCGACCGCTGGAGCCCGAGATGGCGCTCCAGCTGCTCGCGCAGCACATGCCCCAGTGGAAGATCGTCGCGGAGTCACAGGGCGCTCGCGACTTCCTGGTGCCGTGGCCAGAGCAGGAAGACCTCTCGAAAGACATCGGCGGCGCTCTTGGCGTACGAGCAGTGCCAGTGGCGTGAGGAGAACATGTCGCTGCTGGAGTTCCTCCGCAAGTCGGACGACGGCAACCAGGGGAAGATCGTCCAGTGGCTCCAGCGGAAGCACCGCGCCGAGGTCGTCCGCGAGGGCTATGAGTGGTACAAGACGCACCTGCCGACCGGCACGCGCCCGAATGTGAGGAGGCCGCGGCTTAAACTGACCCCCCCCTTCGCATAATTCCGCCCAAGAAAAGCCGAAATGTAGCCGTGCCCTGTGGGCGAGCAGCTTTCCTGCGAGCGTGGCTTTTTTCATTGAGCGAGCAGCTTTTCTGCGTGCGCGAGTAGCTAGAGCTTCGGCGCGTTTGAGTGTCGGGCGCGCCGGTCTGCTCTAGCGCAGCCCGTGCGAGCTTCAACCCGATTCGACTGCGGATCTGTGCGTGCGCCATCGCTCCATGATGCGTTCTGCGAGCTTCAGGACATGGCATGTTTTTTGTTGTCGCTGTGATGATGCGCGCGCCCCGCACGGGCGCCTTCGTCTGCCCTGGCCGATTGGGTGGGCACTGCAAGATCTTGCAAGGTTTAGGGGCCTCTCGCGCTTTTCGTCGGTCCGTGTCTCTTCGCGGTTTTCGCGCTCACGGGCGTCCAGCGGGATCGCCCGTAAGATGCAGGTGGCGCGCGCCTTTCCCCTGTTCGTTTGTTGCTATTTTGGTTGTGCGGGAAAATGACACTCCGTTTTATTGCAATACAAGCACATAGAAATCATCAGCAAAAAACCTTCCCGCTCATCCCGCGCCCTTGGACTCCCTCCCACGGCAATCACCCCCCACAAGACCAGCCCCAATATGCACTTTGATGGCGGGGGCTTATGTGACCCCGACGTCGGGTTCACTCATTCGTTTCTTTGCCATGGTTCCTCCACCCTTCATCCCTCCTTGGTCCTCCCTCCTCCCTTCTCGTCCCTCCCTCCTCGTTCCTCCCTCATCCTCCCTCCTCCCTCCCTCCTCGCTCCTCCCTCCTCCCTCTTCCCTCCTTCGCCCCCCTCCTACCTCCTTCGCTCCCTTCCTTGTCATCCGAACCATGGATAATCTTCAATGCCAGACAACTCGATTGAAGGCCATTCCCAGTGCTCCCATAGCATTTTGGCCTCATGTTTGCCTCGCCTGCGCCTCGGCTGTCCCGCGGCTGTCCCGCGGCTGTCCCGCGGATGTCCCGCGGCTGTCCCGCGGCTGTCCCGCGGCTGCCCCGCGGCGGGCCGCGGCTTTACTGGCCCGGGCCGCAGCTTTATTGCCCGACGGCCCGCTTTGCTTCGGCTGTCCCGCGGCTGTCCCGCGGCTGTCCCGCGGCTGTCCCGCGGCTGTCCCGTGGCTGTCCCGCGGCTGTCCCGTGGCTGCCCCGCGGCTGTCCCGGCGCAGTCTGGCGCTGTCATATTACACTTGAACATGTGTTTTCGGTCGCCAATACCAGCGGCACGCGGCACTCCGTCCGGCCCCACACAGTCGGTATCATCATTATAGTTGCGTTGCTGCCTGCGGACACTGCTCGGAACAACGAGAAGGCGACACCAACTTGTTCATAGCATTGTCATTAAAGGAGTTGGGCTTCCCCGGGGCCTCCTGGGGGGGCGCCGTGGCCACTTGGAGCCGCCTTGGGGCGGCCGCGGGGCATCTCGGAAGCAAATTGGAAGGTATCTTGAACGACGTTGGGTGCTCATGAGTCATATTTGAGGTCATAATGGGCTTTCTGGGGCCGTCGCGGAGCCATTTTGGGCCATCTTAGGCGCTCTAGCCCATCGCGGGGGAAGAGCTTCAGACCCATGGTTTTAGGAAGAGGGCGACGCATGGGGGGGCAAAGCGATTCCCTGAGTCCATTCACGCCGATCGCTTCCAGTGAAAGTTCATGTGCGCGCCATTGTATTCACGCACGCGTTCTCGTGTGTGCGTGTTCAGTTGCGCGCGTTTTCTCGCGCGCGCATGCGTTTCCACACTGCCCTCCCATTATTGGCCATGTGCGTCTCGCCGTTTCGACCTACCGACGCCTGTTCTTACTGATGTTTGTAAGAGATCACATGCCCCGGAATTTCCTACACCTGTCCAACAACCAGGGCATGCATTCAATTGCACATGCACCTGCCGTTTAACACCGAGTTATATATGCCCGGACTTGCGTGTGCATATTGTGCCGTCTCGGCGCTCTCTTGTCGTTCGCCCTCCACGTTGATTTCCTTTTCTGTGTCCGCCAGGTCCGTGACCGTGTCTGTTCCTGTCAAGGATGTAGTTCCTATGGATATCCCCTTCGTGGAAGATCGCCCCTGTGTCGCCGACATGCTACCCCGTCGCTGTGCTACAGCAGTGCTGCAGCTGCGCAGCCGTCCTCAGTCGTGCTGCTGCGGCTATGTCGCGGCGTCCCGCGGCGATGCCGCCCAAGAACCCGCTTTGCTTCGGCTGCCCCGCGGCTGCCCCGCGGCTGTCCCGCGCGCCCTTTTCAGCGCAGGGCGGGGTCGCCTCGACGAACGCAAGCCGCGGCCTCCTCACCCGAATGCCCAGTCTACCTGGTGCGGGAAGATGCGCCAGCAGATGAAGGACACTGGGGAAGCGGGACAGGTGTCCCTCCGAGATTATCTGGCACACGTGGGGCAGGTCGAGTTCACCGTTCCCCACCTGGAGACTTTCGCGCGCGACTACGAGACAAAGGGCGAGAAGGCGGTGTGCTGCAACATGCGCTCGCGCCTCAACGATCTCTTCTACGGCCAATGGCTGGTGCTCCACGTGCCCTTCCGCAAGCGGGCGGATCTTATCCCGGCGCTGCAGCTGGGGAACGTCCCCAAGGAGCACCGGAACCTGGCCATGGCCGTGATGAGCAGCAGCCCGATCGCCAGGACGATGTGGCACGGCATCTGCGACGACGGCATCGAGCAGGAGTTTCGCTTGGAGGGGCACAAGGCGGCCTACAGGGAGACCATTATGAACTACGTGCGGACGCACCGCCAGCTGATCTTCGACTACATCGCGGGCCGGGTGCCGGTGGCCTCCGCGAGCCTGGGTCAGATGACCGACGGCCTCATTCGGCCCGCGCGCGTGCAGGTCGAGCGGGTCGTACACTTGCCCACGCAGCAGCGCTTTGCCGAGCTCATACCCCACCAGAAGGACGTCGAGGGCCGCGTGCGGATCGGCGAGGCCGCCGGGGTCCGCGTGGGCGACATGCTACAGCTCGGGACGGCGAAGGCCCGGGTGCTCAGCGTCCTGCGATTCGACGACTTCCGCACCATGCTGCAGCAGCTCGGGCACCGGCGCGCCGTGCCGTCGGCACGGACCATATCCGCGGTCCTGCGCATTTGCCACGGCTTCCGTGGCTACGAGCGCCTCGCCGCCCAGCACGGCGTCGTCGCCTTCGAGCTGGGGCCGCCGGACCAGGCGCCGCGCGACCCGCTCGACGGCCCCGTCCGCCTGCAGCCGCAGCAGGCCGCGGCAGTGCGCCTGGCGGAGGAGTGCATTGGCCGCGCGCTCCGGTGCAAGCAGGCAGCCACGGAGGCGGAGCGCGACGCGGCGCGGGCCGAGGCCCGCGCGGGCTCCAAGATCCTCGTCGTGGACGGACCGCCAGGCACTGGGAAGTCCTTCGTGCAGCACCTCCTGGTTCGCCGCACACTGGAGCGCGGCGGCCGCGTACTCTACACCTTCCTCACGGCGAACCATGCGGCCCGCGCCCGCCAGACCTTCGGCGACGCCGTCGACATCGACACCTTCCACGGCGCGCTTGGCGATGGCTCCGACCCGTGCCACGCGCGGGGCGTCCTGGAGCTCTACGCCCTGGTCATGGTGGACGAGTGCTTCCTGCTCCAGGAGAAGCTCTTCCTGCACCTCCGCCGCCTATACATTGCCGCAGACATGGTGCCGTGCGTCATGCTGGCGGGCGACAAGAACCAGATGGGCAGCCCGGGGGGCAGGCCGTGCTTCTTCTCGCCATCGTGGGGTTGGTGGACTTGCACGACGACGCTGCGCTACGATTCCCAGTGCGCCCAGCGCACGTCGGACACGGGCTTCATCCGCATGCTCAACAAGCTGCGCATGAAATGCCCGGCGGAGCGCGGGGGGGACTTCTCCGTGCCGATCCTCGTGCGCGGTCGAAAGGCCTGGCTCGGCGATAGGCCCACCCTGGCCGATGTGCGCAACCTCTTCCACAAGTACCCGTGCACCACCGTGCTGGCCATCAGCCGCGAGGCGGTGCAGGACTTCAACCAGCTCGCCGTGGCCGCGTTCCACACGGACGACCAGTACCTCGGCACCATCAGGGGCGACGTCGAGAGCGACCCGGCCAACTACGACGAGAACAAGCAGCTGAAGCCGCACAGGCGCCTTAAGCCGATGGACCTGCACCTGTACAAGGGCATGACGGCGGTGATCACGCGGAACGTCGAGAAGCCCTACTTCGTCAACGGCACCATCTGCACGGTGGAGGCCTACGACGGCAACAACGGCGGCGTGCGCCTCATCGCGTCTGAGGGCAGGAGGCTGTTAACGTGGCTGAAGTCCGACCCCGGGCTCGGCAATATTGCCTACCATGCGTTACGGCCTGGATACTGCGCCACAATCATCAAGTTCCAGGGCGCGGAGCTGCGCCACGTGACGCTCTGGCTGGACATCGCGGGCGTGCCCGGCGCGGCCTACACGGGCTTGTCCCGTGTGAAATCGGCGCAGGACTACCTGATCGGGGGCTTCGTCAAGAGGAAACACATTACGCCGGCCTGCGAGGGCTGGCGCCGTCGCTGGGGCAAGCGCCCACACGGACAGGCTTTTGAGCCGCGCCCGGAGGCTCACGTCTGAGAGCGCCCAACCGCGCAGCACTGCCTGCCGCGCGTGGAGCGCGCGGCGTGTACGGGGAGGGACAGGGTTGACACGCGCAAGGGACGTGGAATGGGGGTGACGTGTTGGTGTAGAGCGCTGTAGCCTGATGCGGGGGCATGCGCCCTCTGTGAGCTGCGGTTCCGCGCTGGGGGCGCCCGAAAGGAAATATCCGTGATCTCCATTATGTAATTATGGCTTTTTCCGGGCTCCGGCGGGGGGGTTCACTTTCGAACCCCCGGCCCCGGCCCTGGCCCGGTCTGGGCCCGGCCCCGGCCCCAGCCTTTAACCTTGACGCGTGGGGGCCTCTGGGGCCCTAAGGATGCGAGGGGCCCGTCGCCGAGGGTTTGGGGTTAACATAGAATGACAGGGTCGCCAAGGGCGCTCGCCGACGCTATTCTTAACCTTGACGCGTGGGGTCCTCTAAAACACTAAGGATGCGAGGTGCCCGTCGCCGAGGGTTTGGGATTAATAACATAGGAGGAGGTTGACACCTCAGCTTCAGCGGCCCCATCAGCACCAGCGTCCGCTAACCGTGACGTCCGCGACCTTCCAGCGTCACTAGCGTCGGCGAGCGCCCTGGCGACCCTAACTAGCGTCGGCGAGCGCCCTGGCGACGCTAATTAGCGTCGGCGAGCGCCCTGGCGACCCTAACTAGCGTCGGCGAGCGCCCTGGCGACCCTAACTAGCGTCGGCGACCGACCTGGCGACCTTAAATAGCGTCGGCGAGCGCCCTGGCGACCCTAACTAGCGTTGGCGAGCGCCCTGGCGACCCTAACTAGCGTCGGCGAGCGCCCCTGGCGACCCTAAATAGCGTCGGCGAGCGCCCTGGCGACGCTAATTAGCGTCGGCGAGCGCCCTGGCGACCTTGAATAGCGTCGGCTATCGCCCTGGCGACACTAATTAGCGTCGGTGAGCGGCCCTGGCGACCTTCATTAGCGTCGGCGAGCGCCCCTGGCGACCCTAACTAGCGTCGGCGGGCACCCTGGCGACGCTACTTAGCGTCGGCGAGCGCCCTGGCGAGCCTAACTAGCGTCGGCGAGCGCCCTTGGCGACCCTAAATAGCGTCGGCGAGCGCCGTGGCCACGCTAATTAGCGTCGGTGAGCGGCCCTGGCGACCTTAATTTGCGTCGGCGAGCGCCCCTGGCGCGCTCTGGCGACCTTCATTAGCGTCGGCGAGCGCCCTGGCGCTCCCCGGTGCTCCCAGGCGCTCCGAGGCGCTCCCGCGCGCTCCCCGACGTTCCCCGGCGCTGCCCGGCGCTCCCTGGCGCTCCCCGGCGCTCCCAGGCGCTCCCAGGCATTCCCCGGCGCTCCCCGGCGCTCCCCGGCGCTACCTGGCGCTCCCTGGCGCACCCCGGCGCTCCCAGGCGCTCCCGGGCGCTCCCAGGGGCTCCCCGGCCCTCCGCGGCGCTACCCGGCGCTACCCGGCGCTCCCTGGCGCTCCCCGGCGCTCCCAGGCGCTCCCAGGCGCTCCCCGGCGTTCCCCGGCGCTCCCCGGCGCTACCCGGCGCTCCCTGGCGTTCCCCCGCGCTTCCAAGCGCTCCCAGGCGTTCCCAGGCGCTCCCAGGCGCTCCCCGGCGCTACCGCTCCCTGGCGCTCCCAGCGCTCCCAAGCGCTCCCAGGCGCTCCCAGGCGCTCCCCGGCGCTCCCCGGCGCTGCCCGGCGCTTCCTCGCTCTCCGGCGCCACCCGGCGCTCCCTGGCGTTCACCGGCGCTCCCCTGCAGGCGCTCCCAGGCGCTCCCGGGCGCTCCCCGGCGCTTCTGCGTTTCCTGGCGCTCCCCGGCGTTCCCAAGCGCTCCCCGGCGCTCCCAGGCGCTCCCCGCGCTCCCCGGCGCTACCCGGCGCTCCCTCGCGTTCCCCGGCGCTCCCAGGCGCATCCAGGCGCTCCCAGGCGCTCCCCGGCGCTCCCCGGCGCTGCCCGGCGATCCCTGGCGCTCTCCGGCGTTCCCAGGCGCTCCCAGGCGCTCCCAGGCGCTCCCCAGCGCCAGAGCGCTCGCCGACGCCATTTAAGGTCGCCAGGGCGCTCGCCGACGCTATTTAGGGTCGCCAAGGGCGCTCGCCGACGCTAATTAAGGTCGCCAGGGCCGCTCACCGGCGCTATTTAGGGTCGCCAGGGACGCTCGCCGACGCTAATCAGCGTCGCCAGGGCGCTCGCCGACGCTATTTAGGGTCGCCAGGGGCGCTCGCCGACGCTAATTAAAGTCGCCAGGGCCGCTCGCCGACGCTAATTAGTGTCGCCAGGGCGCTCGCCGACGCTATTTAGGGTCGCCAGCGCGCTTGCCGACGCTATGTAGGGTCGCCAAGGGCGCTCGCCGACGCTAACCTTAACCTTGACGCGTGGGAGCCTCTGGGACCCTAAGGATGCGAGGGGCCCGTCGCCGAGGGTTTGGGGTTAATATAGAATGACAGGGTCGCCAAGGGCGCTCGCCGACGCTAACCTTAACCTTGACGCGTGGGGTCCTCTAAAACCCTAAGGATGCGAGGGGCCCGTCGCCGAGGGTTTGGGGTTGATACAATAGGAGGTTGACACCTCAGCTTCAGCGGCCCCATCAGCACCAGCGTCCGCTGACCGTGACGTCCGTGACCTTCAGCGTCACGCGCGTCAGCTCGCGCGCGCCAAGCCAAGATGCGCGCGGTTAAGGGTTTAGGGTAGGGTTTAGGGTTTAGGGTTAGGGTTAGGGTTAGGGTTAGGCTTTAGGGTTAGGGTTTAGGATTTAGGGTTTAGGGTTTAGGGCTTAGGGTTTAGGGTTTAGGGTTTAACAGGGCAAGGCCAAGAATACCTACCCGCATAGGCACCCACCTGCGGCGGCTATCAATCCCCCCCGCATCTCCACCCCCACATAAAGATCATCTCTCCTCTCATGTTATACCCTAACGGGCGCGAATGCCGACCCAGCACACGCTCGCCAGCCGATCCGTGTGGGCCGAAGCGTGTCCGACGAACCGTGTCTGCCAAGTGTCTACCGAACCGCGTCTGGCGAACCGTGTCATCCGAACCGTGTCAGCCACACAGTGTCAACCCGTCTCAGCCCAACCGTGTCACTGGCGCCGTGTCAGCCATGCCGTGTCAGACGCTCCGTCCCAACCACACCGTGTCATCAGAACCGACTCTGCAAAACCGTGTCAGCCGAACCGTATCAGCCGAACCGAACCGAACAGTATCAGCCAAACCATGTCAGACGAACACTCTCAGCCAAAGCGTGTCGACAGAACCGCGTCAGCCGAAACGTGCCAACCGAACCGTGTCAACCGAAGCGCGTCCGCCGAACCGTGTCAACAGCGCAAGAAAGTAACCCTGAGAAGCACGCGATGAGAACTGCCACAGGATACACACTGGATGCATGCGACAAAGGCTCAGCCGCGCGCGTGTGCACTTTGTCGTTTTTTGGCAATGGAAAATGAACATGGACACATCTTGCAAGAGCAGGATGTTAAGGTTATAGTTTTTTTACAAGAGAAAGCTCCGGTACACTTCCACGCCCGCGACGCGCGCGTGCACTTTGTCGTATTTTTTGCAATGGAATATGAACATGAACACATCTTGCAAGAGCAGGATGTTAAGATTATAGTATTTCTGACAACACAAAGCTCCGGTACACTTCCCGGTTCGCGACTGGGGTTGGGCAGAATGTATGGTAAAAAATATGGGATTCTGATAAATGAAATTCGCATGATCAGGATATAGTGTTTTTTGACAGGGATCAGCCTGGCCCGTTTATAGACCCGGTCACGATCCATTGTAAAACACATCGTTTTCAGAGCACATAGAGAGCGCATGATCAGGAAATAATGTTTTTGCAAGGGATGGAGGCCGGACCGCATAGCGCCCGGTTTTGAAGGATTTAGGGTATAATAATAGTAGAGATTAGAGATTTAGGGTCTAGGGTTTAGGGTTAGGGTTAGGGTTAGGGTTAGGGTTAGGGTTTAGGGTTTAGGGTTTAGGGTCTAACAGGGCAAGGCCAAGAATACCTACCTGCATAGGCACCCACCTGCGGTGGCTATCAATCCCCCCCGCATCTCCACCCCCACATAAAGATCATCTCTCCTCTCATGTTATACCCTAGCGGGCGGGTCGTGCGGGCGGGACCCTAACGGGCGGGTCGGGTCGGGTCGGGCGGGCCCTAGCGGGCGGGTCGGGTCGGGCGGGCGGGACATTAAAGTATGGTGCGTGTGCACTTGACACGCGTGAACCCTAACGGGCGGGTCGGGTCGGGCGGGCGGACCCTAGCGGGTCGGGTCGGGTCGGGCGGGCCCTAGCGGGCGGGTCGGGTCGGGCGGGCGGGACATTAGAGCATGGTGCGTGTGCGCTTGACACGCGTGAACCCTGACGGGCGGGTCGGGTCGGGTCGGGCGGGCGGGCCCTAACGGGCGGGTCGGGTCGGGTCGGGCGGACCCTAACGGGCGGGTCGGGTCGGGCGGGCGGAACATTAAAGTATGGTGCGTGTACACTTGACGCACGTGAACCGTAACAAGCGGGTCGGTTCGGGTCGGGCGGACTCTAGGGTTCGCCCGACCTCAACGTGCTGTGCTATGCAACGCCTCTCGTATGCTATGCCAGCATATCATAGATTAGCACAAAGGCGAGTTCCACAACATCTGGATAACCGCAGCCTCTAGCGTGGCTGTCGCATAGCACCAGTGCTGAAAAAAAACATTGAAATTTCCAATGGAGTTGGCCATGATCGCGCGGCCGCCGCGCGCTTGTGCACTTTGTCGTATTTTTTGCAATGGAATATTACCATGCGCACATCTTGCAAGAGCAGAATCTTCAGTTTATAGTATTTTTTACAATACAAAACTCCGGTACGCATACGGGGCCGCCGCGCGCGTGTGCACTTTGTCGTATTTGTTGCAATGGATTATGACAGTGGCTACATTTTGCAAGAGCAGGATGTTGAGTTTATAGTATTTTTTCAAATATAAAACTCCGGTTTACATACCCGGCCGCAACCCGGGTCGGGCACTTTGTATTGTAAAAAATA